AATCGACGCCGAATCGAAGCGTGTCGCCGCTTCGGCTACATACATGTATGTATGTGACACAGCGAGCGGTGTGTAATACAAAATCGTGTGCTCAAAGGTAATTATCTTTCTTTTTTTTCGACGTCGTGGTAGAAAAATGACAGCGCGCATTTAGAAGATTATTTTATAAGACAGTTTAAGGTCACGTTAAAACTGTAATATGTTTCTGTGATAAAAAAAAAAAAAAAAAAAAAAAAAAAGAAAGACAGGTCGAGAACACTTACAAGCGGTGCCATTAATTTTTCCCGTGATCGCGACGCGATGCTAGTAAGCTAGTCGACGGACCCGGCCACTGTTTATTTACGTCGAATCGGATGTTTGTGTACACACGGGCTACGCGGTGTCGGGCTCGCGGATAATTTTTCGCGAAAGCGTTCGCGCGGTCTCGCCGCCAGGCTAAGTCCACCGCAGCACAGCCCTCGCGTAGAGCGGGTGGAAAAACGCGAGGCGAAGAGCGTTTGCCCCGGTGTCGACGGTGTTTCATTCAAGAAACGGAAAACGCGGTAAATTTCGTTCGTAGAAACGCGGTCGGTTGGCGTTTTCGGTGGACTTTTCGCGACGGAGATCGCGCCGGGCCGGGACGGTCGGAAAAATGTCCGCCTGGCGAAAGTACGGGAAAAAAGCGCAATAATCTGCTGCCATCTTTCCTATTTACTAATGGATGACAGCGGAAAAAAAAACAATCAAAAATTCCCAATAGACCTGGCAGAAAAATGCGCTGGTTTCGGCCGGCGCGACGGAATAACGGCGCGATAACGCGCGGACGGCTTACCACTCACCTGCACCATGGTTCCGAAAGAAAAATTAACCCAACAGACGCATATCCAAACAACGTAACTTGTAATTAAACGAGTCCCCACGTGGGACGATATTTTCCTTTTCGGGGGTATATTTTTTCGCTTGGAAAAGTCTGGTCAGTAGAGCGACTGTCACACGATGTCACTATGGGCCGTATACTACCGTCAGGTCGCCGTCAACCCATCGTCGCTGATTTCTCCCGATTTTTCCGACCTTGCTGCATGCTCCACGCCGCGCTTGACGTGCGGAAAAATTGCGTTTTGTGTCTCAACGAGACACGACTTCCGTTCGCACGCTCGGCCAAAGGTGCGGCGCCATCTTCGAAGCACGATTGACCAAGCGGCGACTATCGAACGCGAATACTCGTTGACACGATCGTGTTTCACCTTCGGAGGAGACGTGAGATAATCTGAAAAAACTCAAATTTCCTTTCAAATATGCACGATTCGAAATTGAATTCGTGAACAATTCGATTTCCGTCTCACGGGTCTCTGTGCGTAGGGAACTTTCGCGCCGCTGTTCGCGCCAGAGGTCGCTCGGGTCGCCCGTCTAGGGAACTTGATACGAGGGCTGGCCGCCGTTGGCGCGCCGGCAGTCGCGTTCCGTGGTTTAGTTCAGCGCGAAGTCAACTTCATTTTTGACGTGATAGTGGTGGGTGAATGAAGTGGTGGCAATCGAAGACGAGACTGCGAGAGACGGCGTGGCGCGCCTTCATTGGGAATAATATCGTGTAGAATGGTAGGTGTTCGTCAGGATGCGGCGTTTTCGGGGCGAGATGCTTCGCAGGATCAAGCGAATGCGACTGGCTGACACACCGATTGTGCCTCGCCACCGTGTTTTCCGTTCTTGCCGAGCGGGCACCGAGTGCGCCCCGTGATAATGCTGTCAAAACGAAATTGACAGTACGATTCGTCGCCGAGCGCGGTAAATACTCGCGCGAGTGACGCCGTCGCGCTCGTTTCTCCGGTCGTTTCGCTTGGGTTTACGCCTGGAGGTGTCCAAGCACCGATTACGTTTGCGCTTCCTGCACGCGTGTCTACGCGGCACTCCGCTGTGTGTTCACGTGTCATTTTGACGTGAGTTCACGCGAAAAAAATGATGTTATGTACGTTGAGTATGATTGCATTTTTATTTACCGCGATATGCTCGTTGCATAAGCGTTCATCGCGGTCATCTCTTGGCCCCGACGTGAGACCGCTCCATGGGCGGGAAGAGATCGTTCTGTTTACGCGAACGTGCCGTTCTGTGTGACGCGAACGTGTCATTGATTGACGATTTTTTTCACGCGAGCCAATACACGTCGTTCAGTAGAATGATTCTGTATTAATTGAGTAAACTTTCTGATGCAGGGCAGATTACAGAGGAATGGTGCTGTACTAGTGGTAATATCCCTTTTAATAGGAACCAATGGCTTCTATGTGCCTGGAGTTGCACCAGTGGAGTTCAGAAAGGGCCAGAAGATCGATGTCAAGGCTGTCAAAATGACTAGCGTACATACGCAATTACCATATGAATATTATTCTATTCCATTTTGCTTGCCCAAAAATGGAGCTTTTATCTATAAATCTGAGAATCTGGGAGAAGTATTGCGTGGAGACAGGTGAGATAATTTTATATAACTTTCAGAAAAAATTTAAATTTAAGAAGTTTTTCATTATCTCATCTTAATCATTGTAGCTTTTATTCTGAACTTTCTTGCCAATAAAATATAGCTTATAAGCTTTGTGATTGACTTTTAGTCATATCTAGAGGCACTTTTATCAATAAAAGAGTTCAGAATAAGAACTTGTAACTGCAACATTAATAATCTCCATTTAATATTCTAGGATAGTAAATACTCCTTATGAAGTTGTAATGGGAGAAGATGTTAGCTGCAAACTCCTGTGCCATGAACCGTCCAGCTTGATGAATTGGAGCGAATACAATTCCCAACAAGTTATCGATATGATTGAACATGAATATTCTGTGCATTTGTTAGAGCATTTTTGTTATAATTATTGAAAAAGAGTCTCTTTCCTATGCTTACTGCTTATCCTGAATATTCTATTTCAGATTAATAGATAACCTACCAGCAGCCACCAAGAAGAAGATCCATAAAGATACTAATAAGGTGGTTGTTTATCAAGGATATCGACTAGGTGGCAAGATGAACGACCAGGCATACATCAATAATTATCTCAACTTGAAATTAAGCTACCACAAACACGGCGAGTCAGTATTCCGTTACACTTGTTTACACGCCTTATAATTTCCACGAGTGTATTGAACGCACCGAAATCATCTCTTTCATTGATTCAGAAACGAGTTTAGAGTAGTTGGATTTGAAGTTGAGGCTCATTCCGTCGACACGTCTCAATTGCAATTCGACGGGAACACCTGCATCCGACCGGACTTCAACAAAGTGAGCCCGCAATTCGTCAGTCCCACGGGCACGAAGCTTTTGTTCTTGTACTCGGTGGAATGGAGCCAGTCGGATGTAAGCTGGGCGAGCAGATGGGACATGTACTTGGGCATGAGCGACGTCGAGATACATTGGTTCTCTATCATCAATTCTCTCATTGTTGTCTTCTTCTTGTCCGGTAAGACGTAACAGAGTATCATGAATCCCACGTTAAGGTGAAAGTATCATTACCCGGAAACCTAATTCCGGATTTTTCAATTGCATTATCCGACAGGGATTTTGACGATGATCATGGTGAGGACGCTTAGGAGAGACATAGCTCGTTACAACGCCGGAGAGAGCGACAGTCTGGCAGGCTTGGACGAAACGATCGAGGAAACCGGCTGGAAATTGGTGCACGGAGACGTGTTCCGGCCACCTATTAACTCCCGTTTGTTTGCCGCTGTGATCGGCAGTGGCATCCAGATCTTCTTCATGGCTCTCATTACGATATGTAGGATCATATTGTTTATATGGCGGCAACTCCATACAAACTTTACGGCGTATATAATGTGTTTTTTAAACGTGTCTCTTCATTTTCACAGTCTTCGCGATGCTGGGAATGCTCTCACCAGCGAGTCGAGGAGCTTTGGGTACCTGCGCGATATTTTTGTACGTGTTTTCCGGCTTGGTCGCTGGCTACTTTTCTGCACGATTATACAAGACTATGCGAGGTCGAGAATGGAGAAAAGCTGCTTTATTGGTAAGAATAATGTAACATGATGCAAGAAATTGATTTCTACATTATTTTCTTCATCATTGGCGGAATATTTTAGGTTGGTGTGCAGAAAATTAGTCATTTTTTATAGAAAGTTTATTAGAAAGAAAATATGAAGTAAAAATACTGAATAAATTATAAAAAAATAATTGAAATAAAAGATAGGAAATCCTTTTTTTTTTAGAAAAATACCGTGGCAATGTTCATTTTATTCGTTACAATTATTAATTCTTTGAGATTAATTTTGTTTTTTATTTTATTTGGCAAGCATGACAAACCTTTTGTAATGACCTGATGCATCAGTTTCTATGTAAAGATCACTAATAGCTATCCATGATTGCAGACAGCGACTCTTTATCCTGCTGTTGTCTTTTCGACGTGCTTCTTTTTGAATTTCTTCATATGGGGTAAGCAAAGCTCCGGCGCGGTTCCCTTCAGCACGATGGTGGTTCTGCTGTGTCTCTGGTTCGGCATATCACTTCCTCTCGTCTATCTTGGCTATTTCTTTGGTTATCGTAAGCAACCCTTCACTCATCCGGTCAGAACAAATCAGATTCCCAGGCAAGTTCCTGACCAGCTGTGGTACATGAATCCAATATTGTGGTAAGTTTAAAGTAATAACGATCATTTTAATTTAGTTTTTAATCTCAGTATCGACTATTAAGGAAATAAAATTTTGTTTTGCAGCACATTGATGGCCGGAATCTTGCCGTTTGGCGCGGTATTCATCGAACTTTTCTTCATTTTAACTGCACTGTGGGAGAATCAGTTCTATTATCTCTTCGGATTCCTATTTCTCGTCTTCTGCATCCTTGTAATCTCATGCTCGCAAATATCGATAGTCATGGTCTACTTCCAATTATGTGGCGAGGTATGAAAGAAATATCAAATCTAATCAAGCTACACTGAGCTTATTTTGTTTTTTTTTTTTTTTTTTGTAAGTCTTGACGCGCGTGAACACACTTAAACGTTTATTATGATGTTTAATTCACAGGACTACAGGTGGTGGTGGCGCAGTTTCATAGTGAGTGGAGGCTCGGCGGTCTACGTGTTAGCTTATTCCATTTTTTACTTCATGACGAAGTTGGAAATCACCGAATTAGTACCGACCCTCATGTACTTCGGTTACACCGCGCTGATGGTTCTCACATTTTGGCTACTGACCGGTACAATCGGCTTCTTCGCCGCATACACGTTTATTAGGAAAATATACGCAGCCGTTAAGATAGACTAGTCAAAATCTATCAATAGTAGTTGCAGTGACATTTGTGGGAGTAATATTAATTTTAATTTAATCGAGAGAGAGTAAAAGAGAAAAAGAAAGGGAGAGACTGGAAGCGAGAGGAAAAGCTTAAGTTTCTTCTGTAGTTATAGGAATTACGATGAAAGTGCAGACGTATATTTCCATCTTCCACGGGATTTTGAATGACAAACATTTATACATTCTGTGACTGATGTGTACGAATATATTCGATATAATGTCAATATAATGTTTCTACATGTTCATCCGCCATTGACAAGTATAACGAATCTATTTTATTTAATTTAGTCGCGATTTTCCCCTGTAAAGTACTTACGATTCATAGAACGCGCAAAGAGAAAGAGGGATAAAGTTGAAGAGAATAAGAGAAGAAAATCTAAGAGAAATTTAACGTTAACAATGGGATGTTGGCTATATCAATATCGTTCCTCGTCGACGAGAGGACACTGTAAAAATGTTCAAGTATGTGATATTAGTGATGGTCAATAATGCAGAAGTATTACGGCGGTGTCGGACAAGTTATGTACTCACGAATGAACGATTGTCAAATGAATATGTATCACCGTGTCGTCACCGTTGATACATGATGATACATGTATATTTTATATTCGTGAATGTACGTATGTATTTAAAGTTGTCGTTCGTCATTCGTGAGTATGTTTTCGCAACCGACACCGCGCTATAGCCGATAACGAGCCAGTTTAAAGTTATCGTTCGTCTCCTTTAGCATAAGGATACAAGCGGTTTTGCAACTGTCCCCAAACCAGGTCATTGTTACGACAAGTGCAGTATAATGTAAGAATAAGAATACAAAAATTTGTGTATTTAATTATGTTCAAACGAATCTAATTACACACTTCATTCCTCAGCGATACATATCTCAAATTCCGCGCGTCGAGTTCCGTCGAGTCTTTGACAACATAACAGCATTTTTTTTCTTTTTTCCATATATTTACGTAATATTATATATCGAGATGTGTAACTTATATAAAAGAATTTTTTCTTAGTAAATTTTGCATTTTCGCAAGTAGCAGAAGTTCTATATACATCGAGACTAATGTTAAATATGATATATCACAAAGTAAGTATTTTATACTATCACTAATGTAAATAATGTGTAATTGATATTATGATAAAAGTGTATACAAATGTCTTATAAATATTCCGAGAATTATATCTCCATTAATCACAACTGTATATAGAGTTATTGCACATTCGCTCGCATTTGTAACATTGAGATTCAATGAACGACGAAAGCCAAATTACTCAAGGCATCTTCAAGCGAGAATACGCGAGCCGCCTCGGTCTGAGTTTTATAATCAAATATATCACTGTGCATGTGAGACTAACATTATAAATTATGATCACGGTAGACTCCACGGGCATGTAACACTTCGATACGGCATAATTTTTAGGTGTAAAAGTTCCCTGAAATTAAAAAAGAAATGTCGTTTATAGATACACATACATACACACACACATATCCTAAAAAAAATATATATATATATATAATTTATCATAACACTATAAAAGGTTATAATTACAATACAAAGAATTTCAACTAAACCACGATTGTTTTTGTCTTTTAAAATTCCCGGAGACATTAAAATTATTGGCAACTAAAAATTTTCGAACATTATATATTAAAAAGAATTTAAGAGTGCTCTCTAGTACTAAAAAATCATTTTATTTGTAATAAATTTGTATCCCAAGGAGTTAATGAATTAATGTCAAAGTGAAAGTTAAGATTTACCATCAAGAGGGACGGGTTCACTTTGTTACGCCAGCTGAAAGACGGGATTGTAAATTCCAGGATGTCGTCTCGATGTATCCTTCTACAGCCGTGATGAGTGTGGCCAGCGACGATTAGTCGCGGATTCAAAATATCCAGTAGCTTTATTTCGAACAATCATTAATTCGTGTATCAATTTATATTTACATTAACAAGTGTGTACAAATATAAAGACTCTGACTATATACAATAAATCGCTAGAAAAGATCAATGAAAGGCAAATGAGAGTCAAATACCGCTGGTGTAATAGCGAGAACATTTATACAATTGACAAAAATTACAATAAAAATCCAGCGAACATTTCGGACTCATTCCGAGCAATCTTCAGCGCATACTATACAACTATAAAAAGTTCTTTCGCAAATACTATGAAACGTGGGAGCTGACTGCAGCTATAACCGATTAAATTCTTCTCGAGCAACGATATTCAGCGATGCCCAGATTAATTGATCTGTAGATCGATATTCGATGTTCCCAAAAAACCTATAATGGTTATAAATGGAACAGTGCAACTAATATGATACAAAGGCAAGCATATCGATGATATCAATTCAACAGTAAACATCGAATCACGTCCGAATAAAGATCTTCCTTGGTCGATGTGTAACCAGGTTACAAATAACGCCAATATACAGGGTGTCATACACACTCTCCTCCGGGCATTTTGTGGGGACATAGAACAGGTTGAGGTGAACATAAAAGTCCTGTACCGTTTTGCGATATTCGCAATAATTATCGAGATATTAATTCTAAAAAATTTAATTAAATGATCATGCAGGATATAGTAAATGAGTTATAATAGCGACGACTGCCGTCGTGTACTTATACTTTAGGTCAAATTGAACAAAAAAGTCCTCTACCATTTTGCAAATAATCACATAAATTTTTAATTATTAATTAAAGAAGGTGAGTGCATTATCACGCAAAATCGTACAATAATCTTCTTTAATTAATAATTAAAAATCTATGTGATTATTTGGAAAATGGTAGAGGACTTTTTTGTTCAATTTGATCTAAAGTATAAGTACACGACGGCAGTCGTCGCTACTATAACCATTTACCATATTCTGCATGATCATTTATAAGTTTTCTACAATATTTCGATAATTATTGCGAATATTGCAAAACGGTATAGGACTTTACGTCCACACAAAATGCCCGGAGGAGAGTGTGAGACACCCTGTATATGTAAACAAAAATTGATAAACAGAGAAAACGTTACATTTGGAACTATCTAAATCCTAGAGAACTTGTCTATTATGTTATAATAAGTATTGTTCAGTGTTGTCAGTGATTTCCGAACATAGGCTATTTGAAAATCACGAATTTCATTGGGAAAACGTAAAAATTTTAGATAGAGGACAAAATTATAACAAACGAGGTATTTCTGAGATGATTTTCATAAAACGACAACAATATGGCTTAAATTTAATTTCTAACATCGATTTTTAGTGTAATTTTTGTTAATTGTATAAATAATTGTTCTCGCTGTTACACCAGCTGTATTTGACTCTCATTTGCCTTTTATTGATCTTATATAGCGATTTATCAACAAGTGTGAATGCAACATGTAAAATGATTAAATGTACTTGTTCTGATGCTTCCTTCGACAGGCATTCCCATCGCTCGCGGAATTTGATACCCTTTATGTCATCGGGTGCCTGATCCAATTCGTTGCAGATTTCGTCGGATTCTCGATACATTGGATAGTGCTGATTAAAGAATATATTTTTAATTTCGACTATCTATACAATCTCGTTATACTTTGTGTGTAAATTATATAAATATATTATACATATATTCTATAAAAATTACAGGCAAAGGGACTGACTTGTAACAATATAGGCCTGCTGTATCTAGAAATTAAGCTTGCATTGTTACAATAATTGCTCATCTTTCTCGCACATTTTAGATCTTCTGCAATGTGACATGGATAGTTTAACTAATCAATTATGTAGATTTCAACATAATACTATGAGAACACATAGATGATAGCTCACTGGCTATTTTGTTCACTGCAAATTCCGTGGGCTTGCATAGAAAACATCCATCTGCTTCTAATGCCATACTGTTAATCAATATAAAATGATTGTCTCTTATACTCACTCGTCGTACAGTCGGGCTTTTCAACCCATTAATGAAACGCTCATTACGATATGGCGTAATCGCTGAAAATATGCCCAGTTATTATAAATTATTATAGTTATTATAAGTAACGATTTCTCCATCCAATTTAATCAAAGGAATCTACAAATCTGCTCCAAGTTTCCAAAATCTGCAATTTCAGAAGTTCATCGTACCATAGTGAAATCCCATGTCGTGATTGCCAGCAACAACATAAAGATATGTGTTCTTAGGTGTATAAAACAAGGAGTGGAATCTCTGTATGTAATTCTCAAATTCTTTTAAACTACACCATTGTCCTTCATCAAAAATATCACCTATACCAAAAATATTATATTATACTAATAAAGATAAATTCTCAGAATATTTCAAGATTAATAATATTTATATTAATCATTATTACATACCCAATATGAAAACTATATCTGGTTTGTGTATTGTCATCATTGTTTGGAAAGCCCTATACATTTGCCATTCCCTAGAAATCATTCTTCTTTAAGAGATAAGGATTTTTTAAACTGTTACTGCCAATATGTTTTGTATCGATAGAAATTTGTATACTAATATTGAAAAATACAAACCTTCGCAATTTATCAAACCAATGACCTTCTCTAGAACCTAACAAGTGAGTATCTGCAATAAACATAGCTCTTACAGGTTTATCAATCGGTTCTGTCTGCGATACAGTCAAATCTTCTTTTCTAGGATCTAAAATAGGCCATCTGCACTGAAATGCAAAAATGCAACTATTAAAATTATAAAACAACACAGACTAACTGTTTCAAGTAATTTGAGTGTGTATTAAATTAACAAAATATATTAAAGACTTACCTGTACAAGTACTATATAATATATAAAATGTTCACAAAAACACATTGTAAATATTAATCCTAAAGCCGCATTGAACAATATTTTTGGGAACCTTGTCCTGAGATAAAACATCTTTGAGATTCAGATTGAGTTTGAAATTCATATAATATCATTAACTAGAATTGTCACAATTTTACATCGATTACACCAAGTACACATTATACAGCACGTAACAATGTAAAATATCACTGTAAGCAAATCAGATCATTTTACTGCTTGTTTACTTTGCACAAGTGTAAACAATGCAAATTAGGATTTCTTTTTTATTAAATCTAACCTAACATACCTAACCCAGGCTCCGTTCCGAAATTCACTAAAATTCTATAATATACGTAACATAAACTATAGATTTTCAGTACTGGCAGTATATTTCGGAACGCAGCCCCAGTAGACTGCCAGCACCATCTAGCGGTGCACAAGAATCACGATTCACTTGAGAAAAATCTTTATTTTTGGAAGAATACAGTTCGCTATTTAGATTATAAAACCGTATTTATTTGAAAACATCTATAAATTTCATATCTGGTTAAATATCATTAAATATTTATATATTCAAAATAATTTATTGATGAATTGTCAAAGTCTACATTTTCGCATTGTTCACATAATAAGTATCAACAGGCTCAGTGACGCATTCCGTATACGCATTTGTAATTTTAATACAATGCAAAAGTCCAGTCTTTTATGGATTACTATCTAACAGGTATTTGGATCAATTATAACATTATGGCGTGCTATAACATCACAAAGTTTCAATAATATATATATATATAAAACAATGATAGAACCACCCAAAGGGGTGCAATCGAGATGCTTCTGTATATGCGTAGTCTATAAAATATAAACGATATACTTATATAAAATAAATTACGTGACAAACAAAGACACAAGTGTGCGACGTCAGCTGTTCTACAAGCAAGTCGTGTCGCTGATAATCTCGGCCATCATGTCCTTGTCTTGCAAGGCTGAGTCCAACTCCGATTGATTCCATTGCAAGTTTACCTTGGACAGACGCGACTGCTTCTTGCCGACGATTGTCAGAGTGCCTCTTGTCTCTATCAGTGAACACATGTTCAGGAATTCGGAGAAATCGGAGGCGCATATATTTCGTTTCTTGCAGACCTTCTTATATACATCGTGCAACTGAAACGAAGCGAAAAAATCGTCGTTGAGAAATTTCAGCGAGACTATACGGTTCTAACATGACTTTTGCATGAACTTACTCTCCCGACAGTGACAATCTTGTTTCTCCCTTTATTCAAGATGAGTAACAGGGAGCAAAGTAGTAACTTCTGCTGAATAGGAAACGTGTCCTTGTTGAAGTTCTGCGTGCTTCCATAGACTCCGTTTAAAACCGTAACTACCTCTTTCAAGTCGGCCGGTCTCTCCGTTATTTCCGCTTGCTTCTTTGAATTTATATCTGAATGACAAAAGACAGAAATATTAGATGTTGTGTGTTATTTTCTCAATTATTTATTAATCTCATAATTTATTTCATATATCATTGCATAGTGTACTTCACTGTTAACTGAAGTGAAGGAATAAGTTGATATCCATAACTGAGCCAAAGAGTAACTTACGGATATCCATTGCGAAATTAAATTGACACCAAATCTTTCAAATATTTTTGAAATATTATTGAAAGATAATAATATTTGACAATAGATATTCGAATTCTTAGAGGTCTTATTCTCTCACTTCAGTTAAATTTCATCAAAGCCTGTTCATATATGTTATTTACCGTTATCGTTCGTCGGACGTAGCACTCCCGCTATTTTTTCAGACTCGGCTAGTTCAATTACTCTTCTGCTAATGTCTAAAGCACGCCTGATGTCTCCGGAGATCGCAGCCACTTTGCCCGCTAGCAACTGTATCGCGGACGGTGTAAATATATTGGACGCATCCGCTCGTTTCAATCTCGCGGATATTATGTCGGATATCTGTTGTTTGGTGTACGATGCGAAATGCATTAGCGTCGGTTTCAATTCGCATCTGGCTTGCAGCCTGGGCAATATTCTATCCGTCAAATCTAATGCGTTTGCGACACCGACTAGGATCAGCTTGGAATTTGGCAGAGACGGCCATTCGAATATAGAATACAGCACAGACTGCTTCTTGCTTTCCAATTGATCAATCTCGTCCAATACCAGAAGCAACATCTTGTGCTTGGATTTTAAATACCTTTCTATAATGGCCTTGTTATTTTTGCCAGAACTGATCGAGGTTATGGATAACTCTTGAATTATCTTTGCATAAATGGCAGCTGCAGACTTCATGGTGGTGCAATTGATATAGACACTTTTAAACTGGGATTTCAGCTCTGGTTGCTGCATTATCTTTGACAGACTAGCAGTCTTACCAGTGCCTGGGGGACCAGAGATATACAAAGAACCCGATGTCTCTTCCTCCAAATGTTTTTGGAGAAATTGCTGCAGTTTGACTAACTCACTCTCTCTACCAGGTAAGTCTTCTGTCTCAGAACTATGCAAGGCCAAACGTGCATTCTGATACTGGTTAGACTCGAATAATCGTTTAGACTGTAAATTCTTTCTATCCTCTCTTTCAGAGGATAAATTTAATCTACCTATCAGAGTGGATGGAGTTAATGGAGACTGTAACAGCTGATCCTTTTTCTGCTTAGACGGACTAGTGATATGCTCTTCTATAAAGTAAGAAAAGATAATTTGTAATGATAGATAAAATGAAATTATTGCAAAGTACAAAAAAGTTGCTGCAAATATTTTCAAAAGCAAAACAAGATAATACTTATATTGGAATTATATATAATTGCTTATACAAATATTCTATATACTAATAATTATAATAATTCTAATAATACTAATATTTTATATACTAATTCTATATACTAATAATTCTAATACTAATAATACTAATAATTCTGAGACAAAAGATTAATTATGAATTACCATTAAAGGCATTACGCTTACGACGAGTTGGTGTTTGGGCTACATTATTCGTATCGCTTTCAGCAGTTCCTCTAGTGATTGTCTCTGTTGTATTCTCAATATCTGAATCTGACTCAGATTCACTGCTGATTAAAGTGACAATCTTTTTCACTGTCGGGGTATATCTCGTCGATGTGTTTCTCGCTGTCGCTTCTGAGAAATCTTCCTTCACGACGTCCTTTTTGTGCCCGTAGAAATTGTATTTCTTCCGTATAGGAAAAGAAATTGTAGTTTGCGTGCTCATCGTGTCTCACAAGTTCGCGTCAACGTGTCAATTATTAAAGAAAGCGATATCACAGATTGCTACTTTAATCTAGAGAGAAAGAGCACAAATTGATCAATTGATAGTTTGTGGCGCTCTAACACCGAACTCTTTCATACATAAAAAATTGCAAAAGTATGTCTTTTTCCCTCCAATTGTTGCTCTCTAACCTGCGAGGTCTTTGCGATTTTTAAATCAACTTCTTTAGGTTGTCAGCACACATACTGATGTTTCATATATTCCGAATATTTCGTCAAACGTTCACGATCATCAAATTTTGCTACCGTCATCGATTTTCACTTCCAACGAAATTATAATGTAGAACAGGCTACTCTGCTCGTGATGAACACTCATATATGATTACCATCTGTACGATGCGTAATTGGCGGGAACAACTTTAAACGCGGGAAAACCGCGGAACGTGGAATTGAACCTCGAACTTGGGGTACGTTCGGAAAGACGCTATCAACGTCATTAACGCAACGCTACTAATATCATTCATGGAGCTAATAGCGCGATAGTGTTAGCAAGTTTCACGAACGACGCTAGCGTAGTGTTAGCATTATAGCTCCTGCACACAGGACGCGGTAATGCTTGCCGCGTGGCAGAAGTTTGCGCGACAGCCAATCAATATGTTGCTTTCCGTAAAAGCTAGAAGGTTATTACGGAAAGCAGCATATTGATTGGCTGTCGCGCTAACTTCCGCCGCGCGGCAAGCATTACCACGTCCTGTGTGCAAGAACCATTAATCTCGATCTACAATAGCCCCTTGTCTACAACCTTGTTTTAATCTTTAAGCCATAAGAAATTGACCAACCACAGACGATTATTTTAAAAATAATCAACTTGGAATATCTTACAACTTAGCCCAATTTCTTTACCTCCATTTAACTTTATCTGTCAGTTATTCTATTGGAATTGACCAATCATATTTATGGTTGGCAAGATTAACCAATCACGGTTGACATTTATCCGACAGATAAAGTTAACCGGAGGTGAAGAAATTGGGCATTAAAAATTAAAGCAAGGTTGTGGACAAGGGATAGATGTAGTAAGCTTTAAGCCATAAGAAATTAACCAATCACAATTGATTATTCCTCTATAATTCCACTGTGATTGGTCAATTTCTTAAGGTTTAAAGCTTACTACACCCTTACAATAGGGTTGCGTTCTTTTATTTGCAACAGATGTAGCTGAATGCATCTCGTGGATGCATCAAGATTGCACTTTTTAAGGTTACTAACTAGTGATGTACCGTCTCTAGAACATAATTTTCCTATTGGCTATTGGATCGTCGTATGTCCGACGTCGGGTCCCAATCAGTAATGTATCAATATTGCTTTTATAAAAATTGTGAGAGAAAGAGAGAGAAGCAGTCTAATAATAATATCAAATAATATAAAAAATGTCATTAATTGAAATCGATTTAGTACATGGACATGACCAGTTATTAGAGGGTAAAGAGTCCTCAGAGTTAATTTCAGATGCTGCTAAAAACAAACCTCCAATAGCTCCCACATTTGCAGTATCCATCTACAACTCATTAATAAATTAATTTTTACATATTTTTTACTACAATTATCCCAGCAAACACAAAATATTACTATTATATAACATAGACGTAACACGTACTTTTGTTACTTCTATGTTATATCCCACATAGTACGTAATATCGCAGAAATATCACAGCAATATTATATTTTCATTGCAATATTACCAGGGAATATAACAGAAATAATGCTGGAATATTACTAAGATATCACAATAATATTAAAATGTCCGCGGCAAATGCATCACAGTAATATAATGGTGAAAATCACAATGATATTACTGTGAGAAAATCATAATATTTAAAAAAATATACTTATATATTCCTAGTTTTCTCATGTTTCATAAACTACTACGTATTGAAGGTTGTCAAATACACTCCAAACTTTCGTGAAATTCTCCAGCAATAGTTTCGATCCCAAGCAGTATACCACCACTGGTCACCCATCCATGTCCTGACCGCATTAAACTGTTGCTTAAACCTGACGATCGAGCGCGCACGCGGTGATTCTGATGACTCCAACGATGTTCTTACAATTCATGCTTATATAATGTATCCTTATATTGTTCACAGTACATTATAATATACTTAGCAAACATCAAATAATAGTTATATAATTTTTACTTAATGTTTGTTGGATAATTTGCTGATAGATATTGAAACAATGCAACAACATTCAATATGCGATAAATATTGATGTAATGTAGTGAACCAGTGATAATTACTTTTAGATTTTTAACAAAATGTTATAATGATTAATCCAAACAAAAAAAATTAAAAAATCCAAGAAAATTCAAATTAAACAAATCGAAATACTAAATTTTAAAAGAAACTTTTAAAAAATACTATTTCTGTAAGGGAAGGTGACTTCAAATGACGCCGTAATAACGTTTTAATGATCGTTTTAATGTCAAAGAAATTAATATGTCAATTGATGTCACCATTCTATTTAAAATATGATATATTGCTATAATTTAACTATAATATAAATGTATAATATTTCAATGATATAAGTATGTAATATTGCAGTAATATTTCTGTAATATTTCAATGATATATGTAAAAGTGCAATATTTCAGTAATATTTCTGTAATATTTCACTGTGATATGTAATATTACCACTATATTGCAATATCACTGCAATATTTCTGCAATATTACGTGTGGGATAGCAGTTATGTCTTTCCTTGTTAAGATTGTAATATTTCGACTATATTTAATACATATTTTTGTACATTTATTGAACATATTACATCAATTACTACTATTCTTTATTCTTTTCATCTATTAACCCAGACAGCACAAAATATTTATAAAATATTTACAAAATATTTATTAGATTTATTTGAATATTTTATGAATATTTAACAAAATGTTTCATAAATATATTTACAAATATATTTACAAATTATTTTTGTGACCTCAGATTCAATAGATGAAAAATATTTATATATCTCATAAATATTATAAAAATATTTATTAAAATATATACATTTATATACATTTCCCAGCAAACACAGATATATAACAGTTACATTGCCGTAATGAAACGGAATGTAACATGCAATATAACATGTATGTAGTAGGTTATATAGATGTTCGTTGTAATTTCCTATTCACATATGTTACAGTTATATAACGTAAATATAACATAAAAGTAACATGTGACTAAAAAGTTATATAAAAGTTATATGTTATTTGTTAGCAAATTAACACATATATTTTTTTGTTGAATTCCAACGATTTATTCATTAGTATGGTTCAGATAAGTGATAATGTATGATTATTTTGTTTAAATAATAAAAAAAAAATGATATTTTATATTCCGTATTATTTCAATTATTCGTGAAACTCGCGTGGTTTCGATCCTATATCAGGCGGGACCCATTTTTAGATCATGTTGTTCAATGCTTAACTTCAATGATCGTCCGGGAACTGGTGATGCTGATGCGCCGTAACGATATCTCTCTCTTGATAGATAATGGCTGTGTTCAGAAAACATAGCTGATCAGTGAGCGGTTAGTGATTATTGGTCCTTACTGCTAGATCCCTAATTTTAGACCAATTACGTTGACTAATTACTCAACTGTTGTGTAACCGTTGTGTCTCCTGAACGCACCCATTATTTACAATATATTCTTATATCGTTCAAAAAATGTTATGACACATTTGTTGGTAAATGTTTGACACGACAATCACAATATGATTAATATTGATACAATGTTGTATCAGTAATCAAATTTTAACCTACAACTCG